GTGTGTGTGTGTGTGTGTGTGTGTGTGTGTGTGTGTGTGTGTGTGTGTGTGTATGTGTGTTGGTACTGGGCTTAAAACCAGGGCCTCAAGCTCTAGCTTGGCTTTCTTGCTCACAACTAGTGCTCTGCCACTTGAGCCACGCCTCCAGTCTGACATTTTGTTGGTTAATTGGAGAAAGGGCCTTGCAGACTCTTCTGTCTTAGCAAACTTCAAATCTATCCTTCCTGACTCAGCCTCCAGAATAGCTATTATTCCAGGTAGGAGACGCTGGTACCCAGCTTCAGCATTTTCTTTTTTAAGTTATTCTTTCAATGATGTTGCTATGGAATCATTGTGGTAAAAACTGCTAGGCGGAGGGATGTGATTCTGGACCAAAGGGAGTATAAGTGTTTAGATGTCTGAATTATAGCTGCTGTCCAGAAGGAGAAGTCCCAGGAAACAGCACAAAAGTTAGGTAACAGGGAAACAAAGGAAGCAGCTTGAAAGAAGATAATCCACAAAGATGAGTGAGCACACAGCATGCTAGATACAGGGATGGCTCTTACATTTGGAACTATGCTTTTCTTTTCTTTCTGGATGTTAGCCTTGACACTCAATTTCTCTATCCCCAATATATGCTCATTTTAAAAAGCTGGTGACGCTTTATTTCCATAAAAGGCTCATCAAATTTATGTTCTCCAGTGCTTTGTGGAGACAATTTGACACCAATTGATTTATTGGTGTCCATTCACTCCCATATGTATTCTCAGTCCTCTCCTTTACTAAGTTGAATAATTGGAACAATCTGTATCTAGGTCTGTCTATTTTGACCTCTCAATGAAGTAATTCCACATTCCCTAAGGTCAACATCAGAAACCAGGAGATGAACCGTATGCTGCACTGTTTCACAGCCAATGATTGTCTTGTCCGTTATGTTGATGAACATCCACTATTGTAACAGAATTCCATTCTGCTACAGCTGTGTGACCAAGAGAAAGTTAACTTTTCTGGGCCTCAGTTTCTCATCTGGGAAGTGTTGGGAGACTCACACATAGGGATAGGTTTTTGTGAGAATTAGAATCAGATTATTTACCTAGTACAATGACTGAGATAGAAATTACTATCTTATTTTTTGCGTAAAACTTAAGAGTGTCAAATGATAGCAAATCACAATTACTTTGATTACAAACTTTTGCCCTAAAACCTCAGAAAATTAAGCTTCAAATATCTGGAAAATTCTGACATTGCAATCAGACTTGAACATGATGAAATATTTTGATTAAACACGCAGAAGCTAAAAGAACTGTGGAAATAAATTCAACAACTTTACCTTTCCATTTCTTGTAGAATGCTTGTGATGTCTTTTCCTAACTTGAACTTTTTCCCAAATGGAATGTCAGAGATAATGCTATCCACACATTCTGAGGGCAATGGTAAATCTGAAATACAGAAATCAGAGTGCCCTGTCACCAGGTCAAATATTTACAACTTACATAGTGAGAAAATTGAAGTACACAGAATTAGTTGTGCATTATGAAATAAAACTTAAGGGAGGTAATATTGTTTCTATGGAATTAGGAGCTTTTAAGATGCTTTTAGAATCACTGAAGATAAATGGCAGTGTCTGTATTCTGCCCTTTGAAAAATGATTTTTCAGGTATGATAAAATATGACATGAATTAATGGAATTTTAAATGAACCAGAAAACTCAATTCTCTGGACATATTACATGGACAGAGTTGCCAGATCCATAAAGAAATATATTGAGTTGTCAAGAAAAACTTTAGTTTTCCTTTCCCTTTTCATTATTACATATGAATGTTGCATGTTGGACCTATTTGTTTTTAAGGGAGAGATCCATAACTAACCTTATATTTTTAAGAGCAATTCAAAATGATTATCTAAGTCCTAATATTAAAAAAGTCATACAATTAAAAATCAAAATAATACCATTAGATAAAAATGATAATATCTGATTATTAAATCTAAATGTCTCTCTCACTATAACACTTGCTTGTCAGACATTACATTATAGAAGATGAAACACTCAATATTAACATTGAGCTATGTATTATTTCACTTTCTACTTTAAATTAAATTTAACAATTATCTTTAAATAGTCGTAAAAAGGAGTTTCAATTCCACATGTCAATTTCTAAGTAAATGAATTTTGACCGTTGTTACCCCTTCCATCATTCCACTTCTACTTTTTGTTTCTTATCCATCATCTTAATTAAGTTTGATATTTGTAAGGGTAGAAGATAGTACCATTTTGAGTAGTATCTAATTCTGTAAAAATGCAATGAAGTTTAAAAACTATTAAATACTATAATTTAATAGGAAATTAAAAATAACAAAACAAATCCAATTATGTATGAAAGTCTAATGATTACTTGCTAGCTTTCTTCTAGATCTAACTTTATGTGAGATTAGCAGAAGAGTACATGGTGAGAAGAACATGGTCAAGATAATATTCTCTTAAATTAAGACTGGGTTAGGAGTAGTGGCACATACCAGTAATCACAGCAATCTGGTTGAGGCACAAGGATATCACTATTCCAAGCTACTCTGGGCTACATAGGAAGACCGTTTAAAACAACAACAAAAACAACAACCAACAGCAACACAAAACTTGGGCAAAATTCATTTCCCCTGTTTTGGGGAACAAATCCAAGCCCTTATATATGGAAGGGACGTCCAGTACCAGAGCTCTATTCTCAGTCCACCCTATTTTTTTGCTTTGTACACTTAGTTTTAGGGTGTTGATAAAGGATACAATCTTTTCAGCACCATTTCTATACTTTCGGCAGTATAATCAAAGACCACAGATAGATAGTGAAAGCTATCAGTTATCAAAAACCATATTTTTTTTGGGGGGGTGGCTTGAACTCAGGACCTCATGCTTTCTAGGCAAGCTCTCTCTCACTTTAACCACACCCCTAGCTGTTTTTGCTTGAGTTATTTTTCAGGAAAGGTCTCTTACTTTTTGTCTAGAGCCAGTCTTTAGAGTGCGGTCCTTTCTGAAGCTCTTGAAGATATTGACACAACATTGGCAGTATGTAACTGTCTGCAAAGGTCTTGTAAGGGAACCCACATATCAACAGTAATAGCTTATTTTGCTTACGTTCATAAGAAAACATGGAATTGAATGCAAGCAAATATAATTTGGAAAAATAGCCACTTAACCCAAATGAAAGGTCATACTTCACAGAGTGATATTCAAATGCATTTTCTTCAGCTGCATGTAGTAAATACTTGCCTTTGAGCAATCTATCCTTGAACTTAATGCTTCTATAAACAGATTTGTTTTAGCTTGGTAAGTGATAACTATGTTGGCCCTCACAAATGAAACAGAAACTGACATTTTACTCAAGTTATGTGTTCATCATTAGCATTTTTTGTGTGCCTGCTGGTACCATGGCTGGCATTCTATCACTTGAGCCATGCCACCAGTCCAGTACATTGCTTGTTAATTGGAGATAGAGTCTTGCAGACTTTTCTTCCTGGGCTGGCTTCAAACCATGAGCTTTAATTCTTAGCCTTCTGAGTGGTTAAGATTACAGGTGTTGGCCACCAGCTCCTGGCTATTATTAGTATTCTTGGGAAATCGAAACTCAGTGCTGATGGTTTCATTAAAAATGTTCTTTAAGAAAATCTTCTTGCTGCTTAAAAGAAGTGCTGCCAAGCAGTGGCTCACACTATAATCCTAGCTACTAAGGAGCTGAGATTTGGGAATGGTGGTTCAAAGCTAACCCTGGGAAGGAAAGTCCATCAGACTCTTATCTCTAACCAACCACAAAGAAGCTGGAAATGGATCTGTGACTCAAGTGGTAGAGGACTAGCCTTGTACAAAAAAAGCTCAAGGACAGTGCTCGGATCTTGAGGTCAAACCCCAGGACCAGCACAAAGAATAAAATAATACAGTAACAATAATTGATGTCATTCAATAAGGGATTGAGTCGTGCTAGTGAGGCATGCAAATGTGTTTCTCTTGTTCCAACCTGCTTCCATATGGTACTAAGAATGTAAATATGTCTGTAGATTTAAAAAAAAAAAGCCTAACCAGTGGCAAATTATTTTCTAAGATAATTTGTAATACAATATTTTACCCCATATTTTCACAATGATTCAATCTCAGGAATAAATACATGTAATTTCTGCATGTTAAATGATCATCTCGACACTAGTTGAGGTAATATCAAAAAGTAGGAAACATAGAGTCATTAAAACACAGTAAAGGGACTAAGATTATGAGTTTATAAAGTTATCATTAGTGGACTATTAGTTTCCTAGTCTTATCTATGCTTACAGAGATCTTTACTTCATGTTGTTTGTTAAACTCTATGGTGGGTATTATTATTTTCACCTTACAGAGGAAAAATTACAGGGAGGTTCAGTTCTTTGCTGAGGGCCACACAACAAAGAAACCATGCTCAACTCAGAATTTACACTTGGTTGGTTGGTCTCCGTAGTCTACACATGCTCTTTAATTACTATAGTAAAAAGGCATGGGAACCTCAATCTGACAGTGTTGGAAAGGAATAATTAATAGATATCACTATTGTAAATTAGATTTATGATTAAAGGTAAAAACAAATTAATAATGAGAATAAAAACTTTAGGCAGGACATCTACCCCTGAGGTAGACATATGCAACAAAGGGCTAATTATTAAAGAGTAAACATTGTGCTGTAATATATGTAAGATATATATGTATATGTGTGTATATACATGTGTGTATAAATATATATATATATATGTATATATACATGACTCAGAACTGTTCTATTTTGTGCCCATATTATGTGTTCCCCGGTTATGAATAAGAAATGATTTAAATACATCCAACACATGGTAACAATTTTACTTAAATGTATATGGAAACATGCTTATAAATGTTGAACTCAGGACCTTTTCACTCTACCTCTACCACTTGACATGCCTCCAGTCCCCAATTATGAATCTTTAAAAAATAAAAATGTTACAATATTGTAAGTAAACTGAGTATTAGCTCCACAGATATATTATAGGGAATAATCTCAAATCTATCTGGCTTTAGTATCTTACCTACAACAGAGACTTTAAGCAACTCAATTCTGTCTTGAAGGTTTGCAGCTTTCACATTGCCCTGGGCACCCAGTAATTGTGAGTCACTGACATCGGTTCCCACATAATAAACATTCTATGGGGAAAGAAAGTTCATATTTTATGCAAAAATAAAGCTATTAGATAGCTGAGTAGTTAAGAAAATCTACTTGTACTTTCCTAAATGGTTAAAGTGAAATTAACAGATTTTTTTTTTTTAATTTAGAGACAGGATCTCAGTATATAGTCTGGGCTGGCCTTGAACTTGGGACCCTCCTGTCTCTTGTTCCTGAGTGCTAGGATTATAGCACCACCATGCCTTTAAACTCAAGTGAAAACAAATTTAGAGAATTCTTTTTTTATTTTTTTTGGGTCCGGTTGTGGGGCCTGAACTCTGGGCCTGGGCACTGTCTCTCAGCTCTTCAGCTCAAGGCTAGCCCCCAACAACTGAACCACAGCGCCACTTCTGGCTTTTTTCTTTTTGCTTATGTGGTGCTGAGGAATCGAACCCAGGGCCTCAGGCATGCAAGGCAAGCGTTCTATCACTGAGCCACCTTCCCAGCTCCTAGAGAATTCTTTAAAAGTATTTCATAGCAAAAAAACTTTTGTGAAAATGGCAAAAAAAATCTGTTAATATTTTATATTTCAAGTTAAACTAACTCTAAGGAATTTAGAGTTAGTTTAATCTAGGTCATGGCTACTTTTAGAATTCTGTCATGTTCCTCAATTTTTCACAACATTTAAAGGAATAACATAACAATTTAACCCATCAAAATGTATCTTAACTAACATGAACATTAACTCATATAATTACAAATAAGATTCTCCAAACTGAATATATACTTCTGTATACTTCTATATAATGGATAAGGGACCACATACCCTGACTAAAGTAGACCCACCACTTGGTTTACAACAAATGTTACAACTTACTGGCCATTCTTTAGCAGCCTCCAAAAGTATTGTTCCAAGTCCACACATTGGATCTAAAACCAATGCACCAGCCTAGAGACAGAAATAGGAATCTGGTATGAAATCTGTCATTATAGCTCTACCTTTATGGTAGAGCAGTCTCCCATTTCAAGAGTAAAAATTCGTTCTTGTATGTAAGTAGCAATTTTGCATATTCAAGTCTTAAGGCAGGACTGCGCTGACTATGTGAAGGCCACTGTGGCTGAGTGAACAAAAGGGACAAGGTGAGATACTGCATGTACAATGACCCCTGAAATCTTATGTTCTATGCCTACAATAGGGCAGTGAAGGTTCTGCTCCTTGCTCTGGAACTCAGGGTGGTGAAGCAGTCACCACGCAATCGTGCGCTTCTCTGAAAGATGGCACACACATCACTTCCACCAGAGTTGGACTGGCTAAAGCATGTTAATGACATGGCAGTATCACAGGTGCAGGGGGGCTGTGTGATACTACCTGGAAGTGAATATTAGGAATATTAGGAAGTGAATATTAATTTGTGGGGAAAACCCCTTAATTTTGTGGGGATGATATCATGTTCAATTTAGGTACTGTGAGGCTGTGGTTCTGTTCTGAAGGATGGGCAACTACTGGAGGGTCGGAGGGTCTGACACTACCCTTGAGAGGCCCAGGCTTGCTGCTCTGGCCAGCACAGACCCCAGAGGCGTATGATTGTTAACAAGGAGGCTGGCTGGGGAGTCCAAGCTGAGACGATGAGGCTTGGATTAAGATGTTATTGTACAAGTAGTCGGATTTTGTTTATACTTTTTAAAGGTGGAGCCAAAAGGAAAGACTTCTTATGTGATATTAATGAAAGAAAACAGTCTGGAGTGACTAAGAACTTTTTTTTTTGGCCTATTACTGAAGTTGGAGAAATGGTAGGAAGGAATACGGAGGAGACAAGAGTGTAACCTCTAAACGTTTTATTTTGGAGACAGCCTCTTAGATCTCCAAAGGCAGCTGCCAGGCGAGTCTGGAGTTTAAGGATTCAAGGTTTAGGAAGAATCAGTGTGAATCCATTTAGAAATGGTATTTAAAGATCAGAACAGGCTGAGATCATCCAGGAAGCAAGGGAAGTTAAAAAGGGAAGCCTGTAGATTGGACCCTGGTGATCTCCTAAATATAGACATTTGGAAGATGAAGATCTTGTCACGCACAGAAGTGATCTGCTAAATATAGATGCTCAAAAGATAACGATCTCGTCATGCACAGGAGAAACATCGCATGAGAAAGCCGGAGGTGAACCAGGAATGGGGGAGACAAAGTGGGAAAACTGGTTCAAGGAGAGTGATCCTCGTGTGAAAGTGCGGGAAAGGAAGGTGAGCACAGGCAGGGTTGTACCCCTTGGTGGGCACACAGGAGAATGGGATGAAAGGCAGCAGAGGCAGATGACATGGACAACTATGTGAAGACTCTTTGTTGAAAGGAAACAGGAGAGGATGTGGTAGCTGAAGAAACCTGTGGCCTTGGGGTAGGATTTTTACTCCTTCAGGTGTCAAGATGGCTGGACAGGTGAGCCTGTGGATGCCGACTGAGCCGCTGGAGGATGTGAGAGGAGGCAGAATCTGGTACTCAAGTATGAGGGTGGAACACAGTTCACTAGTACAATGTCAATGAGGCGGCAGATGTGTGTCTCATTCCTGATGATGGTGGGGAAAGTATACCAAAGTTCTGAGTCCAATAGTTCTGCCAGGTAAGAAGGTAGAGGACATAGACATGTCTATAATGATAGACCATGAAGTCTATGCTGTGTAGGAGGGATGAGCAGGTAGTGAGGGCAGGTAACATGAATCGGAAGAGACTGGAAGAAGCAAACAAGAAAGAGGGTAGGAACAGGATCCATCCTTCCTTCCTTGCTTCCTTCCTCCCTTCCTCACTCTCTCCCTTCCTTCCCCCTTTCCTCCCTCCCTCCTTCCCTCCCTCCTTCCTTTCCTCCTCCTGCTATTATTAAAAGAACAGCATATCACAATGTCACTTCAACTTCTGGGCCCAAGTGGTCTTCCTGCTTTGGCCTCCAGAATAGCTTGGATTATAGGCATGTGTCACCATGCCTGGCTACATACAGAACTATTGAAACTCAGCAATCTGGAAGGGACAGTCTTCTATATGTGACAAGGTCCAGGTCTAGGATGTGATTAGAGCAGATCATTAGAAGGAGGGAAACAAGAAACTTAAGAGACAGGTTATTGACTGACAATCACGTCAGGAATAATGATCTATAATCTAACAGGAATGATAGGGAGAAAGATTAGTTCTAGACTGGCATTATCTGATGCCATGTGCTTTCTGGGAAGAAGAGGAGAATTGATTACTCAGAAAGGGCAATGAGGAGCAAGCAGGACACCTACCCCACCTTCAGGCCCAGAGGAACTCAGCTGCAGTACAAATGCATCCATCATTTGGTCCTCGGTGCACAGCCAGTGTCAGACCAGAGACACCTAATGGAAAGAAGCAAAATGCTCTTCAGGAGAGCGCAACTTCTTCCTGGTGCTCATCCTCAGGAGGACTGAATATGGAACTCCCATTAGAGGGCAGTAAGCAGCAAAAGTAATAATGATGCCAGGCATATCATGCCTGAAATCCTAGCTGTTCAGAGAACTACAGTTCAAAGTCAGCCTAGGCAAGAAAGTCTGTCAGATACTCATATCCCATTAACTACCAAAAAGCCATAAGCAGCCTTGTGGCTCAAGTGATAGAGTGGTAGCCTTGGGCAAAAAAAGTTCAGGGACAGCACCCAGGCCCTGAGTTAAAAAAAAGGGGGGGGGTTATATCGTGGGAGAGGGACATACAAAGCAACAAAGAAATCATCTAATAAATATACAGGAATACAGGTGGACCCATTACAACAATGAGATGCACAAGACGTTATGTCGAAAAACACACTTTACAATTTGGTGTGGAGGGGGCAGATCGGAAGGCAGGGATGGTAAGGGGAAACAAAGGAGGAGGCAACAATGCTTGATAAGAAATGTACTCATTACCTTGCTCATGTGATTGTAACCCCTCTGTACAGTAAAAAAAGGCCTAATGATTCAAGTGCAATTTGTTTAAAATTAATAAAATTAGCAAATTAATTTTATTAAGGTTTTTAAAATGTGCCAAACACTATGTTTTTTTTTCTTTCTTCCTCCTCTAAGCTCTCTGTTCAAGGAGTCCTCTGGCCTGTTATATTTAAGTATTTTCCTGTGCCTTCAGATCTTTTCTGGCCACAACATCTGCAGACACAGAATGCTTCCGTCAAGTAGAGAAATGTTTCTGCATGTCCACACTAACTAGGACTTACAAAACTTGATTTTTCCTTACTGGTTATGACACGTAGGAAGGAGAAATGCTTGTGGGAAATGTGGAAAAACACTTGATCTCCCCATTTTCTAATTTAACTTTTAGTGTCATGGGCCTGCCTGAGCTTGGGCTGTGTGTTTTGTCCTGTGCACGGGGTCAAGCTGCTGACCATCCTACATCACCACTGCCAACCTGTCAGTCTCGGCTGCTATTTACTTGCTTTCATGCACTGGTAATCACACTGAGAGAGACTTTTCTGACTCTTGGTATGAGTGGGACAAACATTACCTTCAAATGTTTTTAATCATTTACTTTTGGGTGTTTATTTTTCTGAAAGATAGATGTTCATATATCAAGACAAAAGTCATGTTTCAAATTTGAGAGTGGTTATATACGTTCGTATTTAAATATAAACTGTTGCAACCACTGACAATTTGGAAAAGAATAAACACTAATCCTACCTCTTTTTTATGCTAAAGGAATTGGGTCTGAATATATCAGTCACATAAGAAAAGTGTGGGTTCTGGGAACATTGTGGCCTGAAAGTGTTCCTTTTACTTCCAGCTCAAGTCTATTTATTGTTTTGGTTGAGCCAAGTGATACTCGGACTTGATGCCTCTGGTGCTAGGGTAGTCCTGGGTGTGGCGGTCCCAGGAAGATATGGCTGTGGGTTGTGGTGCCAGGGGTCCAAGGACTAGACAACAGCCCAGTGGGACCAAAGAAGAACCTGGTCTTCAGAGATCTGCTTCCCAGGGCAACCAGTGAAGAGAGGCCTTCCCCCTATGTCTCAGTAGGGCTGGCAGATTCTCCTTATGCTGCTCAATGAGCCAAAGGGGTCAGAGGTATGCTTATGCCTTTTACCATTGTAGGAATCAGGCCATTCAAAATATTTTAATTACCATGTTTTGATGCTTGTCAGCCAAGAAGGAAAGATACTGGCACATGTACAGGAGAGAGCGTCCCTCCCTTGTAAACCACAGCTATTAACCACAGGAGAGGCAATGCACATGCGAATAAAAGAAACAGGACCAGGTGCCAGTGCCTCATGCCTGAGTAGCTTAGCTACTCAGGAGACTGAGATCTGAGGATCAAGGTTCAAAGCCAGCCCAGGCAGGACAAGTCTGTGAGACTCTTATCTCCAATAAACCACTCAGAAAACCAGAAGTGGCGCTGTGGTGCAAGTGTAGAGCACTAGCCTTGAGCTGATGAGCTGAGGGACAGTGCCCAGGCCCAGAGTTCAAGCCCCAGGATTGACAAAAAAAAAAAAAAAAGAACAGGAACTTTTACACGTATTCAAAGGTGGTACATACACCTTTCTGAAACTAACAGGGCCATGATTTTTAAGCTAAAAATATCAATAAATGAATTGAAGCTGAACACATCTCCACTATATTTGCTAAAACTTGGAAAAATGACCAAGAATAACTCAAAATGCAGAGCTAACATATCAAGAGATGGGAACTGTGTGATAAAGGATATGAGCCTGGGGGACAGAGCAGGAAGGGTAATGTGTTCATTACAGGAATCTCAGAGTAAAAAAAAAAAAAAAGGAAGCGTTTAAACTTACATGTGCTAAATAGTCGAAACAATAATAATCACATAAATAATGCGAAGAAGAATTCCTGGCTGGGGAAATAACATCCATAATTATTAAAAAATATGAATTATATACTCCATACAGTAATTACAACTTTAAACATCATAGCAATGACTACTGATGTATTTTCTGTATGCCAGGTATTGTTCTAATTCCTTTTTGCATGCAAAGTCATTTCATCTTGATATATTCCTAACAGATACTATTTTCATCCTGAGGAAATAAGAGTTGTGAAGAATTTTGCCACAAACTTCCCACATAGTAGGTGCTAAAATTGGAATTAGAACCGCAGCAGTCAGATTCAGGAAGCTCTAGGCTGAACAGAAAAGAGTCATGCTCGAGATTCTGGCAATATTCCCCAGCTTTAAAGAGAAAACCCAAAGAAGCTTCTAGGCACAAAGAACAAAATACTTATGAAGAAGAAAAATCACCTGACTGTCCTGTTCCTGTGTATTGCTGCCAGCTAGAAGGCAACGGAAGAGCACCTGAGAGACAAACGGGAAGAAAGGCAAGTGCAAGGACCTTCTACCAGCCAAGACAGGTGTTGCCAGGATGAAAGAGGAATTTGAGGACAGAAAGGAATTCTGAGAGAATCATATGTGATCACACACAGGAGGAAAACGCCAAAGAGCAGACTGTAACCAAGCAACAACCAAATGAGAGCAGACGCTTTGAATGGGGAGAGGTGAAGAACGAACTGGCGAGGACAACCCGTTCTAGAACTTATTCTCTCACGGGCCCAGGGCAATGTGTTGTCACAATGCTACTGTAACCTTCAGGGCGGGCAGTGGCACTGGCAGCCCACTAAGAACCTTGCAAACAGCAGAGGTGACTTGAAGGGAAGTTCTGGCACAGAATACATACTTTTTGTTCAATCTAATAGCTGGGGGCCGGGAGAGAAGGGTAGGGAGAATGTTTCAAGGGTCTCATTGTGAGGAAGAGAAGAGAAATGATTCATGATGGGGCAGGGAGGCAACTGGGGAAAATGAGGACCATAGCAGTATAAATAGCTAGTCTCTTAGAGGAAAGTGGCTACCCTGATGAATGTGTCCCATTAGCACAGCTGGAAAAAGATCTTAATGAATAGAATAGAACAAAATGCTTCAGCTTCAGAAAGGATAGCTGAGAACCTGACCAAACTAGCAAAAATTTAAACAGGAGAATGGGAAGTTAGGGACAGAGCAAAGCAGGAAGAACTGAATTAAGTGTTAGTTGTCTTGCTGCTTCCTGAATTTTCTCATTGGAAAACCCTCAGAGTCCGGTAGAAAGGATCAAAACTTCTGTGTATTTGTAAGAACTTGAACTTGGAAATATAGTAGAGCAAAGAAATTTTGAGTAAATGCAGGCACAAAGGAGTAAAAACGTTAACAAGATGTGGTGAAATTTTAACTTAAATTCACCAATCAAGGTAGACTTTATGTAACAACAGACATAGTTTATAATGAAGCAATACTTTGTACACTCCAAGCCTTACTGAAACTGAATAATACAATCAACTACCAAAAAAGGAACTTAATAATATAGTAACATGCAATTTCAAAATAGCTCATTCAGGATGGAGCAGATAATAACATAGTAAGCAAAGATAACAGAGAATGTTTTGTAACCAGAAAATAACATTTTCTTATGTTCATAGAACATTTACAAAAATGGAGCAAGATTTTGTTTCCAGAGAAAAATAAATGTTAAGATATAGAGGTTTTATAGGTGACAATTTTGAGTTATGACACACATTAGAATTTATAAAATGTGTCTTTTGACTCAGCCTTTTCATAGCTAAAATACTTTCAGAAGTTCAACAAGACAGTTTCATTATGGTGGGGTTTTTTTTGGAGGGGAAGCAGAGAAAGAAGCACTGGAGATTGAATTCAGAACCCCATACTTGATAGGTAGTGCTGTACTACTTAATTGCTTTTCACACAGGGTTTTATTAAGTAACTGGGATTACTGGTATAAGACACCATGCCTGGCTTGTTTTTTTGAGAGAGGGTCTTGTTACCTTGTTACCTCTGTTACTTTTTTAAGTATATCACCTCACTGACCCTCCACTTTAACAGTTAAGTGTAATGACAGTAACAACAAGCAAAATATCAAACTAAAAAAGAAAACACAAAAACCATGATGTCAACCAGTAAGAGTGAAGCAAAAAGGATCATGCAATCAACAACATTAATATGTATAAGAACTTTTTCTACCTTAATTTCTGCCAGAGATGCCATTGCCCATGCTATAGTAGATCGAAGTCCAGCCATCTGGATGTAAGTTCTGCTGGCTAAAGGAACCCTACAGAGAAAAGAAACGGATTAGTTACAATATTCTATATCAAAAACCAGGATATAAATAGAATGATTAATCTGTATCTGAGAAGGATTTAAACCTATTCATCTGATACCAAGTATTCTTTTTTGTCCATTGTAGGGCTTGAACTCAGGGCCTAGCCTGAACTCTTGCTCAAGGCTAGTGCTCTACCACTTTAAGCCACAGCTCCATTTGTGGTTTCTGAGTGGTTAATTGGAGATAAGACTCTCACAGGGTCTTTCCTGCCCAGGCTGGCTTCAAACAGTGACCCTAACATCTCAGCCTCCTGAGTAGCTAGGATTACAGATGTGAGCCACCCAGTTCAAAGTATTCTTTTAAATTAGATCTTTTGTAATGGGCACTTTGTCTAACAGGAGGGCGATGTGATCTTTCAGAAAAGGACACTTTTTTAGACAATGGAAATTTAGACTGCCTTAGGCTGAGTTTATAAAACTTGAACCACACAGAGGGAAATCTCTAGTTCTTTCCTGTCTTTCTATGGGACCTAGCAGTAGAAAGGCAGTACAGCCCAGTGGATGCTAACTCACAAATCTGCTTTCTGTGAAAGCCCCTTTGTATGCTCCTCAAAAGATGACATAAAGCACCATCTGGAGTCTGACCTTGTCTTGACTGGGAAGATGGCACAGATTTTTCCCAACAGAGTTCCCTGCATCACTTCACACTCCATCCTCTGTCTCATTGCTATTCGGTTTTCTAAACTGAATAGAAAATTTCAAAATATGGTCCAACAATATCAAACCATGATGTATTATTTCTAATGAATGGGCAAGCAAATCTTAGCAATGCTTATGTGCTTTCAGTACAAGTCTACAATTTACTGGTAAGTTAGGATTTCAAGCATTGGTCCTGCTTTGATTGGGGGCACGCAAGTTCAAACCCACTAAGAGGACTCTTCTGTAAACATTACATGGGGCCATATTGCTCTGCAGACTCTTAAAAATGTTCAAATGAGTGCCATGTATATAAACTTTACATTCATTTCTTTCATCATCCTTCTCTGACTTTACATTAGCCTGGTTTTGTTTATATTTACCGCAAGATGCGTCAAATTTATGTATCCCTTAGATGACTTCAAAGACAACTGTGTAATTGCAAACTACTGTTCTAATGATAGCTGTGCATGGTAAACTCGCGGGAACTGGGCATTTTAATAAAGCATTTTGTTTTATAGGAAATAATTCTTTCCACTGCAATAGTATTATAGTCATAGATTTGATATCCAGGTAGGACACTGCCAGGTGGAAAAACTATGAAATATTTCGAGTAATGAATTTTGCTTCTAAGAGATAAACCCAGCAGTTAGCTTGGTACAAGACCCACTTCATATTCTAGATACCACAAAAAGCATTATGGAAAACTGTCTTCATTTGGTTAGATCACAAAGTCTTCTTCTAAAGAGCAGGGATTTAGTAGGCCTTTGAAATTTTGGACAATTATGTATTTTTACTAAAAAAAGTTTTATTTTATGGGAACTAACACTACTAATATGCATAAAATTCAAACTTTCTCCTCTCTTTCTTTTTAAAATGTAATATCCTTGGAATTTTTCTAAAATCACAAATTGTATAGCATTACTCTTACATTTCAATGCATCCTTACTTTGCTTAAATTTAGGCAAAAGTGATCTGTGACAACTTTTACAAATGGACCTCATTAAAATCAGTATAATAAAATTATTCAGGGGAAGGTCGTATTCAGAAATGAATTCCTTGAAAACAATGATCTTCTTTATTAAAATTCGATTTTAGCTGGTTTTTATGTAGTTCAAAAGTAAATGTTGCTTTTCATCTTTCTTCTATAGATGCATTTCTTCTTTATTCTTTTACATACTGTCCCCTTTAAAGAAAAAGATATGCTAATCCCTAACTCTTGCTTACATTTTTTTTACTTGAACCCCAGATCTTTATTTTCAAACCCGTGTTTGGAAATTCCTTCTTTGAGGTTATGTAGTGCAAATTCAACAGAGAACATACTCCCTTTCCCCAGATTTATCTTCATACACTTCTTCCTTTTCTTATACTACTTATATCCATAACTTGAGCACCCAAATCTATATATGTAGTCTACACGTCATCTGAACTCCACATCCATAATTTTAAGCTCTACTTGGACATTTGTTGCTGAACCCACTCTTTCCTTCCTGGCATTTTCTTTCTCAGGGATTACCACCTGCATCTACTACTTGCTCAAGTCAGAAATCTAGATGTTATATTAGACATTTTTTTTTTTTTGCCAGTCACCGGGCTTGAACTCAGGGCCTGAGCACTTTTGCTCAAGGCTAATACTCTACCAGTTGAGCCACAGTGTCTCTTCTGGCTTTTTCTGTTAATGTGGTACTGAGGAATCGAATCCAAGGCTTCATGCATGCTAGGCAAGCACTCTACTGCTAAGCCACATTCCCAGCCCCACATTAGACTTCTTAAACTTTTTCTTGAGTTCATGGCAATTTTGTTATCCCTGACTTTGCATACTTGAATTCTTCCTCATGGTCTGTACTGTTGTAATTCAAACCTCCTCCTTCTCTCATTCTTTTTAAAATGTAATCTCCTTGGAATTTTATTTTTGAAATCACAAATCGTATAGCATTACTCTTATATTTCAAATTCTTAATGCTTATTTTTTAAGAAAAAAATTTAGTGGAGCTATGGCTCAAGTGGTAGGACACTAGCCTTGAGCAAAAAAAAAAAATAAATAAATCCAGCTATTTAACATGATTAGAAGATAATCACAATTTGTTTCTTACTGCTCAACCTGAATTCTCTACATTTATCTTCCACCATCTCTGGTCTGTCCATTCTTGACTTATTTAACATCCCCCATAATATTCAAAGTTCCTTTAACCCATGTGCCTTAGCGGATGCTACTCCCTGCCATTCAGGTCTTTTCCCTCTCTTGTTTACTGACAAATGCTTATTCCCTTTGGATCTCCTCTGAAGTGATTCTCCTTTATGCTCCTTTGCTCATCTGTTCTCCATTAGATGGATCATCCTTCCTGACTCTGGCCAAGCATTTATCATATGTCTGTACTACCACTAGATCAAATGTTTTGAGCTGAATAGTCCTTTTACTCATCTTTGGACTTTGGCTATCTAGTACAATGCTTAGTACAAACTGATGGGTCAACTGAGACGAGTTAGGTGAATTCATCTTAGTCTAGTAAGCATTTCTCTTCTTCCTTTACTAGTTGAACTGTGGCAAAAAATAAAACAGTTAAAATATATTCAGCATTTATTCTATTTTAGAAATAGTACCAAGCATTTTCATGTTGGCTAACTCATTTAATTCCAACCACAAAGCTATAAAATAGGTAACATTTCTTTCCTAGTTTTACAGCAGAGAAATGATAACTTGGTCAAATTTGCAGAGCAAATGGAGAAAGAAGGGAGCAATCAATCCATGGTGCTCAGCCATTATACCACACCAAGGGGAGGATGGGTGGCAGGCTTCTACAATCACTGCCTGAGGGGCTTCTCATAGCTAAAGAGTTGTTTTGACTTAAAAGCAGGAGAACTCTATTATGAATAATATTTTAAGGAATTATGGAGCTATGCTTTTAGACGTGGCTTTCAAACTTCCTGGCTGTTCTTTAATGCTCTGTCATTTCTCATCTGTTCATAATCTTAAGCATTTAAAAATACATCTAAATTTAACACTGATGATGCACAGTGGAACCATAAATCAAGTCACTTTTCTGATCTTAAATTTTTTTTTTGTCTAGAATCACCTAGAAAAAGGTACCTACACCATGATATTATGTAGCAGTGTTGTACACAGAAAGTGTGGAAGGTATACTCCCAAGAACCAGAAATCACCTTTCATCCAACTGGCATTATCCCCAAAGCACCTAGAGAAAGTTATGTTGCACAGTAAAGTGCAATAGATATTTCAAAAAGAAACACTTGTTTGCATTCATTATTACTTAGTGCTCTATATAATGAGGGAGGTACTGGGAAAAAATTTTAAAAACTAGCAATGTCCTTTCACACTGAAAGGATAGTGGCTATAGAATCTGGAGAATGCTCACAATGAATTTGTGCTCTATTTTCTTTTTCAGTGAAGATTTTTTTCTCTTTCACTTAAGTTTCCAATATGCCAACAGACAAAACATTTTGGTTTAAACATGGTGTTGTGAAAATTACTTCATAACAGAAATAATGAGATACAATTTTCAGCATTAATCATGGAGTCAGTTGATGACTGTGACTGTTTTACAGCTCTAACTGATCACATCAGATCCATTTAGTTCCACAAAAACATCTCACTGGCTTCAAGAACACACATGCTTTGCCTTTAGCTCCCTTTGTTATATATTTCATGCTATAAGTGAAAAGAATAAAATTCTTAATTTTATGAAATTTCAAGGGGCAAACCTAAAGCTTAGAATACAATAGTCACCTGAACAAAGGAATCCCCAGGACAGAGTACACATCATTGAGATGTATGAAGATCTGAAGGAACAAATACAGAAATTACAATGAAACAACAAACTGTGCAAAATTACAAACAACTGGAAACTTCTACTTTGAGCTTATATTATATGATTGATAAGATTCTGTTTTAGTGCTACAGATAATTTCTTATTAAAGAGATTTTGTAGTGAGCCATGCCTCTACAAACGGACGATAAATATTTTCTTCAGTTGTGATGAAATGACTCCATTCTAAAAGTCTACTTATAGAATGTTTGTTGGGGCCAGGGCATCACAGGGAAGGATGTGGTCGAAAGGAGAGGAAAATGTATATACGTATACAAATGTATATACATATACAAATGTATACAGTTCAATGTACATATGTGACAACAGAACCAGATAACCTGAGGGGAGGGATGGGGCTGGGAGGGATGGGGACAATGATGACAAGGGATCAAGATGCACTGTATCATAAACTGATATGTTGGATTGAACCCCTTTGTACAACTACTTAACGATAATTTAAAAAATTATTTTAACAGTCTCTTAGAGTTTGGATAAGTGGTTTTCACATTGAAAACAAAAGCAAAAAGTAAAAACTAAAGCAGAATTAAAAAGTGTGAAAAGAACAGATGACTGTCTTTTAAAGGTTACATGTATATCACTGAAATGAATATTCATTACCTCTAAATTTGGAGTCCTTAAATCTGCTTTCCATCCAAACTGTTTCATAAGAGCAATTCCAATGATTTTTCCTACCTCCTGGAAAGTAGCAATTTGGGTAAGAATATACTCAAAATGAAAAATTTAAGTTTAAACATGAGGTAAAACTAATAGCATCGTAGAAAATTGTGTAAAATATCATCTGATAATGCTGATGACAATTTTGTTTTCCAGTAGTTAAGTATTATACTAAGTTGATTCTGGTGGCTTACGCCTGTAATCCTAGCTACTCAGGAGGCTGAGATCTGAGGATTGTGGTTCAAAGCCAGTCTGGGCAAGATTCTTATCTCCAATTAACCACTAAAAAGCCTGAAGTGGAGCTGTGGCTCAAGTGGTAGAGTGCTTACCTTTGAGCACAAAAGCTCGGGGTCAGTGCCCAGGCCTTGATTTCAAGCCCCAGGACCCCGTCCCCCCTCAAATACTACCCTAAAGGACTTTGTCTCTCTCTTTTTCCTCCTTCTTTCCCCCTCCTTCCTTCTTTCTTTTTAGACTGATTCTCTTCTGTCTCCCAGGCAGGCCTGCAACTCATAATCCTCCTCCTGTTGCATCCTCCAGAGTTTCTGGGATTACAGGTATGTTTCACCACACCTGGCTACTTTAAAGCATCTTTTACTCAAGACAATAGGGTTAAAGTTTACCTTCTCCATTCTTCCAATATATCCCTTGGCACTAATGTCCATTCACAAATAATCTCTGTTCTTGTAGTTTTACATACTAAATAAGATAATGACCTAATAAATATGGCCACTCTAAATTATAGAAAATGAATGTATGCTAAAAGATGAACAATTTTAACTATTATAATCCTCCATGTTCAAAAAGACCAAATCAGAATCATAAGACTCATTCTTCTACGGCTGTCTGGTTCTGTCTGGTTGACTAAAGCACCACTGAACTTTGTAAGGGCAACCAATGATGGTCTGTGATGGGAACAGTGCTGTCCACTCTTTTCTAGTCTAGTAGGACCTCAGCTGTATTGTGTGTTTGCAGTCTACATCTTGTAACCATACTACATTCAGCACCTGGTACAGAGTATCCACTCAAAAGACACAAGTGTTAACATGGCACTAGTAGTTCATACCTGTAATCCTAGCTATTCAGGAAGCTGAGATGTGAGGATGAAGGTTAGTTGAGGCTGGAAAGTCTGTGGGACTCTTTATCTCTAAATAACTACCCCCAAAAAGCCAGAAGTGGAGCCATGGCTCAAATGGTAGAGTGCCAGCCTTCAAGAAAAAAGATACAGGCTCTCACTTAGGCCTTGAGTTCAAGCCCCAGTACTGCCTCTTCCCCCCCCAAATGGAAAAAAAATACAAAAACCAGAATTGTAATGAAGAGACCATGATAAGCCAGGTGCTGGTGGCTCATGCTTGTAATTCTGGCTACTAAGGAGGCTGAGGTCTGAGAATCAAGGTTTGAAGCCAGCCTGGACAGGAAAGTCTGTCCATGAGATTTATCTACAATTAACCACCAGAAAACTGGAAGTGGAGCTGTGGCTCAAAGTGGTAGAGTGCCAGCCTTGAGCAAAAGAGCTTAGGGACAGTGTTCAGGTCTTGAGTTCAAGCCCCATGACTGACCAAAACAAAAAAAAAAAAAAGAAAAGAAAAAAAGAGAAACCATGATACTATACTATGATTTGCCACTGCATAAGACATTATGAATTTAAGGATACTTTTAGGCAGGAAGTAAAAAAAAATTATAAGCAATCCCTTTTATACTTTGAGGCTAAGTTAAAAAGGGAAATGTAATTTAAAGTAGACTTAATCATATGAGATTAGGCCCAATCACCTGGGCCAAGTTACCTGTTATGTGAGAGGTCAGCACTCATTTAAATCTGAAGGGTAATTAATTCTGTTAGAAAATGGGACCCCATTGAGAAAAGCAAGCATACCTGTGCAGTAAAGACCTTTGCAACAGTCCCACTGCAGCGACAAGATACCCTGAAAGTGAAGGCCGGGCTGGGAGCATCAGCTGCTTCCTCTACCTCGTCCTCAAGCTCCTTTTCTTGAAGGTTCTCTCTTCCAGCGTTAGAATCTCCTTGCTCCAATGCACTTTCTTCTACTTGTTTTACCTGCGGGAATGCCTGTTGAATCTCTTCATTCTTTTGTACCTCGACTTTTAATTTCTTAGAAATAACTATTTCATTTTCGTCCACTTTTCTTTTGAGAGGGTTACTAATACTTTGAGAAAGTTTTTCTTTTTGTGCATCATTTTCAAGAAGACTTTTCCAAAGTGAAATGGCATTCAACCAACTTCCTGGATCATCACTTATAAGTCTTCTCATTTCATGAAGTATTTTTCCTAAATAAACATAAGCTCAGTTTTATCTTGAAGTTTTAAGGATCAACTGTATGATATTCAACACTCCTTAATTCTCTTACCTTTATTTCTTTAAGTTTAACTGAATTGTTACATGAGGCTTTGTTTTGGAATTTGTACAATTTATCTTAAGAATACTGTACAGAATATAGTTCATTCTTACATACATAGCATAAAAGGCTGTCATTTACATGACTAAAAAACACCATGTGCTATTTAGCAAAACCATTTATGCTAGGATAATATGTATATCTATCTCAAGAATATATTCAAAGATCTAGAGTATTTATGGAATTCTGCAAGAACAAATTGTGAAATGGAGCTCAGAAACATAGTAGTTGAATCTTGGGCCTATTTCCTTTTTTTTTTTTTTTTTTTGGTTGATCATGGGGCTTGAACTCTGGGCTTGGGCACTGTCCCTACGCTCTTCAGCTAAAGGTGAGCACTCTACTGCTTGAGCCACAGCGCCATTTCCAGTTTTCTAGTGGTTTATTGGAGATAAGAGTTTCACAGACTTTCCTTCCCAGGCTGGCTTTGAACCGTGATCCTCAGATCTCAGCCTCCTGAGTAGCTAGGATTACAGGCGTGAGCCACCAGCGCCCGGCTTTGAGTAATATCATTTTAAACTAATTTCCACAGAGTATAACTTCAGATCCACTACAGACTCATTTTTACTGCCAGCATGCAGAAACCTTTCAACTTTCCCTTCTAGCAAGAGTCATCAAGACATCTGAGAGTAATTCCTGGGCTTCCAGGAGACAAAGGTATGGAAGAGACAGATCAAATTATATCAATCCCACAATGTAATGCCGGGAGATTCGCTCTAAAATTTTTCCTGCTTGGCCATTTTTTATCATTTGTATTTTTCTTAAAAGTTTTGTTTTGCTAGACTATGTAATCATGTCTCATGCACATGAGCAACCAATGGAAACTTAAGGCAGTGTTCAATGCTGTGGTGCCTGAGCCTTTTTTTTTTTCTGCTTTTATGAAACTGGGAGGTATAAGGAATCTTTTAAGTTCCCTTTTTATAAATGAGTATAAGTTTGTTGAAAATATGCAGTATTTTGCTATATTGTATTTTCCCAATTATAGCTTGTAGTTAATATTTACAAAGTGATGGTTTTCACCTATTATTAATAAATGCATTTAGAGTTATTAAAAGTTTCTTAATACAAAATAAGTGCAATTGGCTAGTTTATCATTAAAGAAATTGCCTGATCATAATTCACAAAGAAAATTATGTTGCTTAGGGTGGTAAGATCTCCAAAGAAAGGCAGTATATTACAATGAAAATTGATATTAAAACTATGCAATAACATTCAGAAACAGAAAGACATATAATTATGCTGGCACTTGTATGAGCAAATCTTAAAAATGTGAAATGTCTGCATTGTCATTATTAAGCAGAAAACTCTGGAGTACAGTGTATCCCATGGGTGAAAGCAGTATGTACACACTGTACCTTTACTTGGGGAAGAAGCAGTAAGTGGAAACTGCTTCTTAATCAGCAAAAATACTCTTTCTGCAGATTTTAAATTCTTTATCATACTCAAATTGGAACAGGTGATGAAGAAAACTTTTCCTGACATATATTCAACCTAGGGACAGAAAGATAGGTGTTAGTGTAGCTCAGTGTCAGCTTAAGAACCTTTTCCATTCCCCTTAATGCATGAAGATACAGTCTCTAAGGGAACAATACAAAGGATCATTTCTGAGTTAGGGGTGGCAGCTCAAGCCTGTAATCCTAGCTACTGGAGGATCATGGTTCAAGATCAGCCCAGGCAAGAGACGTTTATGAAACTCCATAGAAACCAGTGATTAGGCTTGCTGGTCCATATCTGCTATTGCAGTTAAGGGAGAAGCACAGTGGCGTGTGAAGTGGTGTGTGAGCCTGTCATCCTTAGCGATGCGGGGAAGCACAGGAGGGCCCGCCCCGCATCAAGGCATAAAGGCACGAGGCCTTGAGTTCAATTCCCCCTTTTCTCTCTCTTGTCACTGTCTCTTTCTTACACACACACATACACACACACACACACACACACACACACAGTGGCCTTTGAACCAAAATGTAAAATTTATGACACAACTTTGAGTTAAACCCAGAAGAAAAATTAAAAAAAAACAGATATTATGATGCACTGATAAGTTACATACCCAGTAAGTTAGTGCTGGTGAATATTGAAAGTAATGTTCCTCCAAGTTTTGCAGAAGAACCTTAGGAAAAGGGTTTTAACAAAAGAACATAGAGGATGCAAGACTAGGAGTGAAAACTTGGCTGAAGGAAACTGTAAGCTAGCCTGGCAACATTTGCTGACATGCTGATGGATAATGCCAGGTGGATGGAGATGTAATGTCATCTAGCTTGATAGAGAGTTATGAAATTCTGAGTACCAGAGACAGCTATGGCCAGCCACTAGAGATCTTGATGAAAATGGTGACAGCACAGATTAGGCTGGCAGAGCAAATTTACTTTGAAAGAGGCTTAAAAAAATGGAGGAATGTGGTGCTGGAGGGAGTAGATTACTGCAGTAGGAAAAGAGGAGACATGGGGGCTATTGGACCTGGATAATGGAGACAAGCAAGATTTACACATCAAAGAGCAACTTCCCAAGCCCACACTTGTAATCCTAGCTACTTAGGTGGCTTGAGATCTGAGAATTACAGTTCCAAGCCAGCCCAGGACAAACAGAACATTGGGGGTGAGGGGGAGGGGGGAATTAGCAAGGGGAAGAATGGTCTGCAATAAGATGAGAAAATGGGTAGGAACTGTGTATGAATCAGAACGCATATATCCAGAAAAGCCTTCCTGGGGGGGGGGCAGGGAAACAAGCAGGGAATAGGGGAGGAGAGGTGGAGACAGCCTGCTTCTGAAATTCAAATCTCTAAAGGTGAATGTATTCATATTACCCAAAAGAAAGTAATGTAACTTAGGTACTACAGCTGGGAGAGAATGTAAACCTCATAGTGCTCAGCCAACGAGGAAAGGGGGAGGGACTTTGTACACTAGGGATAAATTCCTGGTAACTGCCCAAGGTGTGCCTTCCTATTAACACCCAGCAGCAAGACCACAATTAAATTCTCCCACCTCCTACTTCTGAGTTCATTCGGTGAGCTCGGATGGGTGAATGTGTGGATCACATGAACTCCTTGCCAAGCTTCTAAAGAACTCAAGTATTTTGCTGAAAATGTATACCTAGATTCACATTCTAATGAAAATTCATAATGAAACTCATTATTTTGGATAATATACACTAGGGAAAAATATATCTAATTTATATACATTAAAAAAGCAAGCAGGTGCAGTAGCTCATATCCATAATCCCAACTACCTAGGAAGTAGAGAGCCGTAGGACTGAAGTTGAAGACTTCAGTTACTAAGACTCCTACCTTAAGAAAATAAACTGAGGGGCTAGGAAGGTGGCTCAGTGGTAGAGTGCTTGCCTTGCATGCATGAGGCCCTGGGTTCTATTCCTCAGCACCACATAAGCAAAAAGAAAAAAGCTGGAAGTGCCACTGTGGCTCAAGTGGTAGAGCGCTAGCCTTGAGCTGAAGAGCTGAGGGACAGCGCCCAGGCCCAGAGTTCAGGCCCCTTGACCAGACCCCCCCCCCAAAAAAAGAAAAGAAACTGAACATGGTGATATATGCTTATAATTTCAGTTTGGGGAGGCATAGGTAGGAGGATGGAAGTAGTGGTTCAAAGCTGACCCCAGGCAAAAACATGAGACTATTTAAGAATAAGCTAGCGCCAAAAAAGAGGTAAGGGTGTAACTCAAGTGTGCTTGCAAGTATGTAGCCATGAGCTCAAATCCCACTACTTCCAGGATAAAGAGAAAACACTCACAAATCCTAAAAACAAAACCAACACCAAGACCCCTGATCTTTATCTAAGTACTTGTCAGTGATCTAGATAGTAATTTTTATTAATTATACAAAGATTACATCTTTTATTACTCATTTGAGGATTAAGTAAATTATAAACAAGTTTTTATAGATGAAATGATTCCTGTAATTTGTTTTGAAACTTCCTGGACTGACAAGTGTTAGGAGGTAGGACTGGAACAGAATTCACAGTAGGTGGGGCCTTGATGCAGCTGGTTGAGAACTATGTAAAATTCGCCCTAATATTCTGATTACTTTAGATGCGTATGAAAGTCTCCATGGGGGGGGGGACAGCTGTTTAGAATACACAGGAAATTTTCGACTCCAAGCTGTGTGTTAGAAGAACCACTATATCAGTGCCACAAGAGAGAGAAAGCATGTTCAAATACAAACACCTGGGCTCCACTGTGCCCTGACTAGAAGGAAATCTTCTGGCGCTGGTACCCAAGGATATGCTTCTCCAGGGGGTGGTTTTTATGTTCATGAAAATTAGAAAAACACTGATTACAACTGAGTGATTAAGTAAACAATCACTTCTGAATTAATTTGTTTTGAATATTAATCAGATTTTTGAATATTAACCTTAAAGCAAGCTGAAGTTTGTAACAGCCACTTTTTCTTTCTTATCATTGTAAGGGTGATTTTAAGCATTCCTGTGCAAACGAATCTAAAGGAACTAACACTTATTGAGCACCAGCTCAATTGCACCTTGCAATGTGTGCTATCAATCTGTGTATGTGTGTTACTATATACATATATATGTATATATTGTATATATATATATATATACATACATACACACATATAGTAAAGGTGATGTACAGAGGGGTTACGGTTACATAAGTCAGATAGAGTACAATTTTTTTTTTTTTGTCAGTTGTAAGGCTTGAATTCAGGGCCTGGGTACTGCCCCTGAACTCTTCTGCTCAAGGCTAGTACTCTTATCACTGAGCCACAGAACCATTTCTTGATTTCTGATGGTGAACTGAAGAGTCTCTTCACAGACTTTGCTGTCCCATGGGCTTTGAATTGAGATCCTTACATCTTAGTCTTCTGAGTAGCTAGGATTACAGGCATGAACCACCACCACCCAGCAAGAATACATTTCTTTTGGAACAGTGTCACTCCTTCCCCCTGACAAGTTGCATAGTTCATTTTCAATACAGTGTCTAGTACTCACTAGAGTACTAGAGTACCACTGTTGTATTTGTGCACTTTGTTCCACCCTTTCTGTGTCTACCTTCCTCTTCCTAAAACAGATAGACTTACAAGACAAAAGGTAAAGAAAACAAACCCCCAACAAAGTGGGGAAAAAAACCCTCTTGTTTCCATTTCTTGGAGTTCATTTCCATAAATATTATTTTATATATTCATATGTACATAGCTATTGAGCTTTTGTGATCCTCTCTGAAGGATATCCTCCTTTGGTTTCACTGTGTGAATGTCTAGAGACCTGTTTAATCTATCATGTCCTGGTGTATTTTCTGTCTTTTACCCTCCAGTGTGTTTACTTATAGAATTATAATATGCTATCAATCTTTAATGATCTTTAATGAATGGATTAATCCTTTAAAGTAAGTCTTATCCTACAGGAAGTACCACTTTAATGAGTGTTAAGACAGCATAAAAGAGTGATATTTACAACAGCACTAGTCATAGAGCCAAACTTACCATTTGCAACAAACAGAAAATGAACAGTGCAACATTATGTGGGGCCCGCATCATTGGCTGGGTTGAACATGACTATAGATTCACAATGGAATTTAGAGTTTGAATCTCACCTTGGCTCTTTCCTGGCTGCATGCTTTGAATAAAATAGTTGGATTGCCTGTGCTTTTAGTTTCCTTCTCTGTGAAATGTGGAGCACCTCCTCCATAAGGTTGTGAAGATTAAGAATATAAACAGCAGAAGGACCTAGGCGGGTGTCCCTGCCACTCTGGTGTGCCTGATAAACATCAGCACTTGTTATTATGTGCTAATTAGTTACGAGTAGCTACATTCAACACTTCATTAAATTTGGTGTCCCAAACCACATATGGCAGGTAGCCTAATATGACTGATGTTAGTTATTTATGAGTACTGAGGTTTGTTACCCAGTTGCTTTACCACTTAAATCATATTCCCCCCCCTCCTTTTTTTTTTTTTTTAAGATAAGTTCTCCTGCTAACTTTGCCTTGGCTGGACTCAAACGACAACCCTCCTTCCTCTGCCTTCCCAATAGCTAAGGTCACAGCTACGCGCTGTCATGTCATTCTAGGAGTCTCCTGGCCGGCCCTGGACTCCCACAGCAGGAACTCCTCTGGCAGACTTCCTACACTGTAGGAGTTCCCAGAGATTTGTTTGTTTGTTTTTAAATACCAGCTTTCCTGTCCTATTATAAACCCCGCTCCCCCCCCCCACCTCCCTGTCAACAACTAGCTCAGCACACTTCAGGCTCTGGCACCTAATCAGCCTTTACCAGCTTGCCTACCTCCCAGGAATTAACAGCAGTCGGCGGGAGGCCCGGGAGAGTAAGCTCAGCTCACACCAGTTTCAGGGGGACGTCACACCCCATTTCAGCCCCCTCCCCGGACCCCCACCCTCCAAAACATCCCCCCAGGGAAAACCAATCGCTGTCAAAACCCAAGCACCCCGACCTGAAGGCCATTTGCATTCATTCAGCCCCGTCCCAGTCCAGCCCAGTCCTAGTCCCAGCCCAGCCCCAGCCCAGTCCTAGTCCCAGCCCAGCCCCAGCCCAGTCCCAGTCCCAGCCTAGTCCCAGTCCCAGTCCCAGTCCCAG